CTAAAACTTGTCCAKACAATAGAAAACTCAGGATTACTTCTCAACTTGTTTCTTGAGGCTTGTGTAACATYGATAACAAAATTTAGCAAAGTGATGAGAAAAGACAATTCTCATTAATTTCAGTGCACAATCCTGAAACCACAGATGCATTGACCAGTAGTAGAGCATGTAGGCTCCCTCACACCTACTGAATTACAATCTCAGCTCACAGTGAGAGACAAGTTATAATAATTCTTTCCAGGTAATTTAGACATAGCCATTTTAAGGACCAGCATTTATAAACCCTCATTTTTCAAATTTTCTAAGTAATTGTGATAATAATAATTAACAGGAAATAATTAACAGGCTGTTAATATTCATGATTGTTAATGTGTCATGCTAATGATGCATAATTGTTGAAGACCATTCATAACTCTAATTGAGGTGAGTTTGAAATGTGCACCATTTGTTTGCTATCTGGAAGGAGACAGAGGACTTCCTTGAGGCATGTGCTCAGCCAGGAGCCTGCTCCCTTCAGCTTCTCTGTGAACATACTGCTCCCACCTACTGGGAAAATCTCTTTATGCTATTTTTCTACAGGCTGAGAAATAACATTTTCAGCTCTTAGACAAGGATTCCTCCCTTCAATAACACTTAACTCCCTCCAAAYTGGTTCCCAGCCATTCATGTTATTTAGTTACCTTACAGAAGGTTAAGACAGCTAACAAGCAAAATAAAAGTCAATGCTTCACTTTAAAATTACTAAATAAATTGTTAAATATAGAGAAAAAAATCATAGTTTTGAAAACTAACATTGTTACTGCAATAACTAGGTATTTTGAGAGAAAAATTTTTGTTTCAACTCCGAAATGCTAAAAACCTAAAGGACTTGAGAACATACCTTTTTACTATAAACAAAGTTAGGAAGAATAAAACATGGCCTATCGGTCATTTTTCATGAGCAGTGTGAAGAAAGATTTCAGAGAGAGAAAAAAAAGGATTATGTAGCAAAGGACCACTGAGAGGTTCAGGGAAGGGGCTCATTGCTCATTCCTGCTTGTGATGAGCTACAGACTGGTGTATGGAATCCCAGGGAACTCAGGATCCATTCCCAGCTACTTGGAGAAGATAATACTTAGAGAAGCTAGTAGCCCCTCTGAGAAGCCTGGGTTCTCTGGAGGGCAGAACTGGAAGCCAGGCTCCTGATGTTAAAAATTGTTCAGTGCCACTGAGACAGATAGAAGAGCACCTGAAAGTGGGCCAGGAGACCAGGGGGATTTGCAGAAAGCAAGAACCACACCATCAGCAAATGTTGCACAGATCATGTGAGCCAGATTTTGCAGTAAGAGCTTCAGCAGTGGAGGCAGAAAGAGAAAGAGCAATGCCCCAAAGCATTTGAGAAATAATTGTCAGTAGATGTCAGCAGAGGCCAGAAATTGGTCAAGAATCAAAAGCTCTTTTCCTCTAGTGTATTAGAAAATATAGAAYATGAACTCTATAACCCCCACATCTCCTTTCCAACCTTAGAGAAAAATCCTAGGGAGGTGGAATGTGAGGAGGCTTGAAGCCAATAAGTTGCAAGTGATTGGGGTTAAATCAGATCAAACTTTTGCACTGATATTTAAAATCTTACGGAAATCATTACCGTAAGTACATGTATAAAGACACAAATGGTGTGACTCTACTTTGTGTACAACCAGAGACATGAAAAATTGTGCTCTATTGTATAATACGAGTTGAATCACATTCTGCTGTCATATATAACAAATTAGAATAAATTTTAAAAAATACTACCTTCAACCTGCCATTCAACTATGTCCCAGTAATTGCCAAAGATGATCATCCTAATTAGGCAACCACTTCTTCACAAACGTGCCTGAGAATTCTACTCCTGCAGATTTACTGCTAACATTTCTCCTGAGCTCTCTGAASTTCCAAACCTTGTCATATGTATGTCAATGACTCCTAACACATTATSTAATATGCCCAGCCAATGTTTCTGAGTGTGAGCTGAATGAGATTTAGTGAAAAATGAATGTCAGAATGCATTAGAATTACCTCCCTATTTGAATCTTACCTTTCTATGAACAGGTAATGTTCCATTTCCTTTTAAGAAGGAGTTAGAAACCATTTTACCATATATTTTAAAACTCCTGTAAATATTTGTTGCCATTTTCTCCATTAAAAAGATAATATATGACAAAATGGTAATGAACATGCATACAAAATTGCATACATAATCACCTCCAAGAATTTAAACCTCTGAAAGAGACAATGCCTTTTTTTTGTGAAGATTAAAATAGGTGAATAAATGCAAGCTCCTACATCAACTATATCTTTCCTCAATTTGTGCACAAGGCTAGCTATAAAAGAAACTATMCCTTGCTCCCCAAGAAAAAGCAAGAAAAGGTAGTAGGTCCAGCCAAAGCTATGTCTTGTGTGGGACTCTTAAGTACTAAGAGAATAACTGAGTTCAATGACATTTGTATTCTATTTCATGAGAGCAGACTTAGAAAACTTTCATGAGCCATATTTCCTGTTGTTTTTAGGAGGAAGGTTTATAGAGAAGGGAAGTGCAGTAAAGAAAGAAAAGGCGGAAGGTGTGAGGTGGGTTGTCACTCTCAGGCCAATTTTGTGGCCAACTCCTGTACTCATGACTTTGCTATTTGAACAATGCTCAGTAAGTTTTAGCGGGTGATATCTACAAAAATGGAAACCATCATTGGTAATACTATRGCATCATTATCCTGTTGGCTTTTGTTTTCAATTCATTAAAGTAAACTGGGAAAGTCATATTTGGAAAACAACTTCTTATGTGCCTTAAACGTGTTAAGGCTGGGGAAATTTTGTGGTTCTGTGTACAAGTTATGCTTTTCTGTTATTTTTTTTTCTGTGTTTTATGAATTCAGAGCGCCAAGCAGACAAGTATCTTTGGAAGCCATAAACAATGTGTTATAATGCATTGTACAAGATTTTAAAATAATATTTTCAAGGAGCCAATTACCAAAATCAATATCAATTTAGAAATAAAAATCAAGAAATGAAAATAAAAAGATTGACATTTGTAGCTCAGAAAATGCTTGAATGTTATATACTTACACTCATATTTTCATTGTATACTTAATACTTTTAAGCACAGAAATAATACTGTAATCTATTACCTATTTTCCCCCCAAGTGATCAAATATTTTATGTTTTCCAATTTCCATTGAATTTTCATACTTACAAATGCTCAGTTTTCTTCTTCCCACCTATTTTCCATTATATTCACATGCCAAGAAAAAGAAATATTAGGACCTATCTTTCATATAATAACTTTGTATCTCCTCTTAAGCACAGATCTATTTATTAAAAAATATTACATTTTAGGATAAAGGGATGGACTCCAACTAAGCATTCTCTTATTAATTTCAGCTTTAGTGATTATTATTCATGTTTTATTCAGTAGATGATGGATTATTTTCCTTATATGAATCTTAAATTATGAAGGGCTTGAAAAAATAGATCTGGATTTCATACATTAAGTTTTGCAATATGAGTTAATTTACTTCTGAATAATTTGTACAATTACTCATTTTTGTAATGGGGGTTTAGTTTAGACACATTCTAGCTATTTTCAGCATGTGGTTTGCATGATTGCTTTCTCTGTAAATAAGGACAGCAATTAATATTGTCACAAATATATAATTAGATCCCACAATTCAAAGGCTTATTGTCTCTTGGTATATAACTAGAATAAGCTATTACTAAAGCTGTTCTATATAGTATGCATGCATAATTCATTTTCTTCTCCCCCAATTTATTATTTGATTTTATCAAGATGTTCATCATTAAATTTCTCTTTAGGCTTGAAGCAAACAGAAATGGTTATTGACAGAAAAGAGTTAATTCCCTTGATGCAAATTGCTGTGATGATGGTCAACTAGACCTGATTGCTGGGGACAGTCAGAAAGTATCATTCACTTTCACCTGATGGCTCTCAAAACCTTACTTAAATCACAGTAGTAGTCTGAAATAGTTTTTGAGAGGACTAAAAACTTGTTCTGAACATTTGAACCTGGCTATAGATCTCTTCATAAACTCCATTTCTTTTTCCTTTAAAGCTTTTTTTTTTTTTTTCCTGGATGTAACTGAACTTGTCTTCTTTATTTTTAAATTTCTCTGAACCCAAGAGAAAGGTCAGTTTCACATTCTGGCCCTTCTTCCCTGAACCTGTAGCGACAGGTAACTGACTTTAGCCTGTTCCTGCTCAAAGGTCAGCTTTGGGGAACACTAAAAAAACCTTAGTGTGGGCTGATCTAAATGAAAAACCACCTTGGTATTGGTCCTCTTATCTCTGGGATAGTATTGGAATGCTATATGAACTTATCCCCATATATTATCATATATATTTCACATAGGAATCACATTATATAATTATATTTATTTTATCATGTAATATATAATATGTATTATATCTAAAATTATTGTAATTGTACATAAAATATTATTTTATTTGCAAAAAAATTCTTTAAATTTGTCATGCTCTAAATTCATTCAAGTATAGATTTGTTATTTATATTCACTTTGGAAATTAAAAGATACAACATTGACAACTTAAGTTACAAAAACYCCTGTAGAACATCTTGGTTTCATTCAATAAAATACATAACACAACCTTTACACAAGTAATACATATTTTTTTCCAATAAAATCCATTCTGTCATATTCCAAACAGCAATTACTTCCACCTTATATTTCTTTTCTTTTTTTAGCCTCATTTTCAAATTCTCCTTATTTTCTAATTATATTTTATAACGCCAACCAAAATCTATATTTCTCCAGGTTCTTTGATGTCTCTGTAACTCTCTCCACAGATGTTTTATACAAATAACATTTCTGCAGTAARTCTATGAAAACTTGGATACAATCAGTTTACAGTAAACAAAATGTCTCAGCAATTTCCATCATTGTCATAAATTATGCWCTACATTTCTCTGAGTCTGAATTTAACTTTAAAATGTTTAAAGAAAATACCTTACCCCAAAAGTTTTCTGGCCATGGACTTCCTAAACTTGTGTTATTAGCCATAATATCCACAAGAAAGAGAAGATAGAAAGAAAAGCCAGTATGTCCAAAAGAAGCTSTTTCAGTCTATGTCTTTGTGGTTCAGCAAGAGAAAAATTATTTTCACACAACCCCTCAAATACTAGTGTTTGCATAAAAGGAAATAAAGTGTATCATGTTTCCTGCTTTTATACTCAAATTAGCAACTGTTTTTCTTATCTTGGAATTCCACACGGTGCCCTAGACACAAAACAATTTCCTTCTCGTCATTTCCTCAGCTGAGTTACTGAGTACCCTCCTCTCACCCACCTCTGAAGCTGCTTTGGGACCATTGACTCTTTATCTTGGTATTTCCCCACCCTGCTAACATATTGAAGAACACTCCAAAGCTCAGCTACAGTGCTCTTCAGTRAAGTTATATAGGATTGAGAAATAGACTATTTTCCAATGTCTGAAAGTCATAGCAATATAGTAATGGGGAGAGGGGAGTAGCTGTTTAGAATTTCATATTCTATTTAAGTACAATTAAGTTTACCTGACACCATTTGTTTATAAAATCTCAGTTACTTATTAAAATTCCCAGCTCTTGCCCTATTTTGCATAAAAAATTTGAAAGTCATTTAGTACTTAAATATRAAAAGATGGTTTGTGCAATGAAGGAGTCTGCTTAAAATCAGGTAAAGGAAACATAGGGCAAAACTTTCAATGACAACAGAATCTAAGTGCTACAGCCAAGGGTACAAGGATCCCATTATTTATTCTCAGGGATAGATCAGAGAGAGCCATACAGGAAAGAGTTGCTGGAAACCTTTCAGGAGATGAAGCTCAGTAGAAATTTCAACAATCTTTGTCCATGAGCATTACTGCTTTAGACTGGATCCTCGGACACTGGGGAGCTACTGGAAGCAGTAATACCAGTTGCCAAAGTGTACTTAATGACTGCAAATGCAGGCACTGACCTGGTTTTCTCAATCCTCAAGGAACTCTAGCATAAACTCTTGCATGACTCTTGAATTAACCCTGAGTCACTAGAATATGATTTAATGTGGAGGCGTAACCATCTTTGCAAAGACTTTAATATATTCCTGAAAGGTTTTAAGAAGGGGAAAAAAATTATCTCATTGATTTATGTAGTCCCAATTCTCCAAAAACTAGGTTGTTTCTGCTCACTTTCTCAATTTTTATCCCCTCACCGATAAATTTGTTGAAAATTAAATCATAAACAATTAGAATTCTAGAAGAGAAGAACAGAACGTTATAGAGAGTGTATAGGATACACTGAGGAAATACGAAGACTCAGCTCTATGATATTTTTTGCTAAACTTTATTATCATATAATCCAATGAATAAAAAAAACCATTATTGGTAAAAAAAAAATGCAAAGATGGCTCGTATTTCAACAGTTATAGTCACTTCTTAATATTATTGATAAATTCATAAAAGTAGAAAATTGAAAGCAAATGTTATTTCTGAAAAAAATACAATCGGGATAAAAGAATATTGAAATACTATTTACTCTACTGACCCAAAACAGAGTAGGATTGTTCAATCACTAAATACATTTTTAAATACATAGAGGCCTTTTTCTCATGCTAGCCTCATGTTGTGGACAGGCTGCAGAGCCACTGTTGGCCTCTGCTATAAGGACATTCAGCCCCTGCATGAAGGCTTCACCCCATGGCCTGAGGCTTCTTCTAATGCCAAACCTTTGGTGGGTGAGGATTTCAACATATGAATGGTGGGTGTGTATCAGACTGTAAAAGTATGCTTTGTTTTTTTTTTTCCCATCAGAAATTAAACTTCATGAGAATTTTTAGTATTTTTTGATTCCCTAATTTTGATACATCCTCATTTCAAAAATGTGTATAACTTCATAAAGAGCTCTTCAGACTGCATTTCTGGGCCAAATTCAGGACTCTGGCTTTGTCTGCCTTGGCCTCAGTGCTGAAAGAGCTCATTTGGCCTCAGGGGTGGGATGCAGGTTGAGACTTCCTTTCATTGTTTCATGTTTAGACCTAGAGATATTCTACCAATAAATTTTCACTTTTGCAGACAATCAGAAACTAGTCAAAACCCTGAAGAAAACATGTTTTCTGTCCATTTGTGACCTAGGAATATTTCCCTCACTCGTTAAAAGCTTATTGATGGCATTAGCTCTTATCTGTGCATGCAGTTTGCACTGTAAGGATTCCTATTTTTCCCTGGCATAGATCCATGGCACAGAGTGTTTATGTCTATGTGATTTTCGAATCCCATGACTTGTCATGCCATAACAGGAAGTTGATTTTTATCTTTTCAGAAACGTGAGGTCTGCTTTTCTACTGTTCGTTATTTTAAAAGATCGGTCCACAGTCACGAGTTCTCCAGAAGCCATACGTTGGCAGATTTGTTCTTAACTCCGAATTCACAGGACTTGCTCCCTTCCTGCAGGTGTMTGGCCAGAAGTCACCTCCTGCAGAGTCACCCCCTTGTCAGAAGCATTCCCAGGGGAGCCGCTCTGTCCCCTGAGTTTGCATTCCTGTTTTCTTCAGAGCTACCCAGCACTCTATGCGTCTCAGTGTGTTTCCATTGCTAAACCAAATACCATGAGCTGGGTGACTTGAGAACAATAGAAATTCATTTCTCACATTTCAGGAGGCTGGGAAGTCCACACTCACGGCCTTGCACATTCAGCGTCTSAGCAGGTTCACTCCCTCATAAAGGCCTTCTTCTCCTGCTAGCCTCACRCTGTGGATGGCCTACGAGCCACTGTTGGCCTCGTCTATAAGGACACTCAGCCCCTGCATGAAGGCTTCACCCCATGGCCTGAGGCCCCTCCTTCTCATACCGTACCCTTGGTGGGGGAGGACTTCAACATAGGAATGGGGGGAGTATCAGACTGTATCAATATGCTTTGATTTTTTTTTCCCACCAGAAATTAAACTTCATGAGTTTGGGAACTGCTGTGGTTTCAGTCAGTTTCTCAAAGGTTCATATGCTGGAAGCTTGACCCCAGTGCAGTTGTGCCCACCTAGTAGAAGCATGAAGGGTGGGGCCCAGTGGAAGGTAGCTAGACATGGGGACTCCACCCTCATAAATRAACTAATGCCACTCTCACAGTGTAGGTAATATCTCACAGGATTGAGTGCATTTCCATGAATAGGATGCTGGGTGATCTTTCCCTGGAATCTTGCTTCTTGCTTCACCATGTAATCTGTTCTATGTGTGCTCCTGACACTATGGAACCATCTACTGTGAGGTCCTCACCAGAGCTGAGGAGATGACAGTGTTATACTCTTGARTCTCCAGAACTGGGAGCTAAATATGGCTCTTTTCTTTATCATGTATCCAGCCTCAGGTGATTTGTCATAGCAACATAAGAAGAACCAAGACAAGAACTTCATTGATCTTGCTTCTGTTTGTATATTCAGTAGTTAAAATAGCATCTGGAACACAATAGCCTCTGAATGCGAGCTTATTAAGTAAGAGAATGTAATACTTTGAAGCTATCTTAAGATAAAAGTACTTTGGGCATTCAGATCAGGTTAATAAAAAACTGTCACTTTACACTTAAAAACAAGTTAAAACTCTATTCATAAGCATTACAATATCTAAAAGTTTTGACATAACTATACAGAGTTAAAAATACAAAAGAACATCATCACATCTAAGAGAAAATTCATAATTGACTTTGAACTTCCTTTCTTTAGCTTTATCTTTTAAAACTTTCATGGGTTTTGTTTCTCCCATATCAATCTGAGCCAAACAATTTCTGAGAATGCTCTTAGAACATACGAGAACCACCAGCAAAAATTAAAAATTTTAATCTATTGAAAAATTTCAAGTTTTTAAAAGAAACCTAAGGGATAAAATAACATATTCATGCATTTTTTAAAGAGAGAGTGAGAGAGAGAGAGAGAGAGAGAGTGAGAAAGAGAGAATTTTTTTTTAATATTTATTTTTTAGTTTTTGGCGGACACAACATCTTTGTTGGTATGTGGTGCTGAGGATAGAACCCGGGCCGCACGCATGCCAGGCGAGCTCGCTACCGCTTGAGCCACATCCCCAGCCCTCATGCATTTTTTAATGTGAATACGCTATGAAAATTGGTCTTTCTCTGCCTTCCACCCATTTACTGTGGTTAGGGGATGGTGATATTAAGAAAGACTGAAAACAGTCGTGGTTGAGTTACTTTTGTGAAAATTGAACTGCTGGTTTCAAGATCTCACAAACTGCAGTGGAGACAGAGTCACCAGGCCAGAGTGCCACTTTCTCCCAGTAACTATGCCCCTGTGGGTGGCTGGGTGAGGCTGTGATCCGATTAAAGGGAAGCATTGCCTGGAAATTAACTGTGGGAAGCAGAGCTCAAGCCACAGGGTCAGAGGCCTAGAGTTAGAGCCAGGGTTTTGGTTGAGCTTTTCGGAGTCTCTACATATAGAAACTGCAAACCAAGAAGATCTGACTTCTTTCTAATTTGGATGCTTTTTCTTTAYTTTTCTTGTCTAATTGTCCTGGAGAGGACTCGCTGTCCTGTGCTAACCAGAGTGGGCATTCTTGCCTTTTTCCTGATCTTACAGAAAACCTTTCAGTTTCTCCCATGGATCATTATGTTAGCTGTGGGATTTTTTTTTTTTTATCATGAATGGATACTGAATTTTGTTAATTTTTTTTTTTTTTTTTGCTGTATCTAGTGAGGGAATCACATATTTTTGTGTTTCTGTAGATATGGGTCTATCACATTGATTTTCATATGTCCAAACATTTCTTGGATCCCAACAACAAATTCCACTTGATCATATGTATATGATTCTTTAATACACTATGGAATTTGGTTTCCTATTGATTTATTGAGGATTCTTGTATCTATGTYAATCTAAGTGAGATATTAACTTTTAGTTTTCTTGTCTCATGGTATCTTTGTCTAGCTTTGGTATGAAGGTGTTCCTGACTTCATAAAATGGATTTAAAAGTATGCCTCCTTCTGTTATTTGGGAAGAATTTTTTAAAATATTTTTTTATTTGTAGATGGACACAATATTTTTATTTGTTTATTTTTATGTGGTGCTGGGGATCAAACCCAGGGTCTCATGCATGCAAGGCAAGCKCTCCACCACTGAGCTACAGCCCCAGCCCATTTGGGAAGAATTTAAGAAGGATTGGTAGTAACTCTTCTTTG